AAAAAAAGAGTCGATGTCTTTGAAGAAAAATTGGACTGTTGTTTTTTTTTTTTTTCCCCGTCATTCTATTAATTTTACTCAATATTTTACAAATAATGTGTTAAATTTATAGGGTTTTGAATCCTTATAGTCTTGTTTATCATCACATGTATTCAATTTGATCTGATTTATTCAATTTGAGCTTGATTTTTGAGATTGAATGACTGATATCTGTGAAAAACTGCATTTTTTTTTTTTCCTCAATTCAATCAATTTTATTTAATTTTTTAATAATAATGTGTTAATATTATAGGGCTTTTATTCCTTATAGTGATGTTTATCAAAACATGTATTCAATTTGATGTAATTTATTCGATTTGAGGCGGATTTTTGAGTTGGAATGACTGATGTTAGGTGGGTCGGTGAAGAACTGCCTTTTTTTTTTTTTAATTCATGATCAATTTTTTTGAAAAATCGTGATTTTCTGGAAAATTGTGAAAATCGTGACCAGGTTTTGATTATCATGAGGAATTAATAATATTTTAAATTTTTATTGTTAAATTTTTCGTTCAAAAAATTGGGTGTTGATAGATTATTTATGCAAAAAAATACATGTTATTCTATTTTTAATACAAAACTGTATTTTTTAATTTGTTGTTAATACAAAAAAATACATTAACAAATACATGTTGTTAGACTGTATTATATTTTTAATGTAGTTTTACATTAAAAATGTATTTTTAATTTTTTAAAATTTTAATGCAAAAAATACATGTTGTTAAAATGTATTATCATGAGGAATTAAAGTGAATATCATTGTAAAACAATCATGGCATGTATGATAATTATATTATCTTGCATTTTTCAATTTTATTATTAAATTTTAATGCAAAAAATGTATGTTCTTGATAATTGAGTTGTAGTCATGTTTGGAGCCTGCAGTTTTTGTTATATTATCTTTCATATTTGTAATTGAGATGTACGACTATTTGTGATCATTTCAATCAAGTTGGGATTGTGCCCACTATATCATTGTAAATTTTATTTGTGGCATTGTAAATGACTATATCATTGTAAATGTTTTTTGTGTCAAATATACGTGTAGTGGCATTATGGATGACTATATTAATGTTATTTTTTTCTTGATTCTATGTGTGACTTATACAGACTTTTTTTATCTATAATGTTGCATAAATATATATTTTTTCTCAGTAGGAACTAATTCATGTTTGTCGAAAGGAAGATTTGTGACAAGTCCATATGTATTGGCATTGTGAATTACTATACCATTGTAAATATATTTTTTATTGATACTATATCAATATAAATTTTTTGTTCTATATGTAGTGGCTGATATAGGCTATTTTATCTATAATGTGGCATAAATAAATTATTTTTCCCAGTAGGAACTAAAATATTTTTGTCAATAAAAGTATTTTGCATTAACAATAAATATAACTTCATGAACTACCCTTACATATTATCATCACACATGGTGATTATTTTTCATGTTGAACTGTCAGGTTAATTTTTAACCTTTTACATATTAAAGTTGAACCATGGCAAGATATGCGAAAGACCATGCATGGCAATAGGGGGTCAGACTTGATCCCAACAAAAAAGATAAAATTATTTGTAATTACTGCCAAAGAGTGATAAGTAGTGGAGTACATAGGTTCAAGCAACACTTGGCATGGGTTAAGGGATATGTTTCTATGTGCAATAATGTCCCTAATAATATAAGAAAACATATGACGATATTTTTCAAGGCTACCAAAGGTAAAAAAATTGTAAACTAGAGGATTGATGAGGAGATAGCTAGTTTATATATGCCATCAAGCGGGAATGATTCAGAAGATCAATATAATAATGACTTGGAGATGGCCACAAGAATGAGTTTACAAGAAACATTCTAGAGGGAATGCGGGTTTAGAATACCTGGTGGTTATGACATGAGCATGCATGGTGGGCCTAGCTCAGACATGCATTGTGGGCCCAGTTCGAGCATATATGGCGGGGCCGACTCAAATATGTATGGAGGGGTTGGTGGCAATATGTATAAAGAGAAATCAGATGTTGAAAAAATTATTTCTAGCTTATCTAGGAGTGTCATTATTGCCGGTCATGGTCGTATAGACTCATTTCTCTCAAAGCCTAAGTTAGAATAGATGACCCTCAAAGGCATGGTGAAAGGTAGAGAAACATGATGGGCAGATATGTTGGTAAATGGTTCTACGATAAAGGGATTCCTTTTGATGAAACCAATAGCCCATATTTTCCACATATGGTCAACATAATCCAGAGAGTCGGGTCCGAGGTAAAACCCCCGACGGCAT